TTCTTTCTTTCTTTCTTTCTTCCTTTTTCTTCTTTTTTTTTTACTTAAACTTTTTTGCATGTTTTAATGCAAAACAAATCTCAAGAGTTTGGAGGGATTCTTGGAAGGGGCCAATGTTTGTTAGGATTTTGCTAAAGTACCTCAGGTTAACTCTGTTAACCCAGGCCATGGCAATAAGGTGGACTCATGGAATCCCAGATGAATGTACTTGGTCAGTCCTTCTAAATATGAGTGTGTCCCCAAGCCTCTTCTCTTGAGCTTCCTTTTAATTGAGGACAGCCATTGCCTCCTGGATAAATCAAAGTCCACTGCCAACAGGGCTATAGGCTGGTGTGGCAAAACCTTGCCGCTTGCCAATTGGTTTGTAAAGCTAAATTGCACATTTTTCCCCCTCCCTAAAAAGCGCATGCTTTGCAGCAGTCACATCCCAGACTATCTCCATCCATGTCTGGCCTCCTGCAACACTTGGTTCATGTATTATTATTATTTTTGTTGGCATGGATATAGCAAAAAATAATACATCCCTTAAAACATGAACCCACACTCTGGCTTTGGAAGGAAAAGGTATTTTTGGAGGAAAACCACAGGGATTCTTTTTCTCCAAAAATAGAGAACTGTTTTCTTTCCCAGGCCGCGGAAGACTTTCGCGTGCATCCCCATTTCTCTGTCCCTGCTCAGACGCAAACACTGCGGCTGGGGGACTGTGAGCCTGAACTCCCTGGGTGGTCACAGTGCCTCAGTTACCTGCTCTCTGTTCGGGTCCTGTCGCCGCCCCCGGGACTAACTATGCTCTCCTCATTTCCAGTAAAGGCAGACCGTGCCGAGGGTGCCTGTGTGGATGCTGCCCCGGACACTCTAGGTACCACGCAATGCTCGCACGGACTGACCACGCTGCACGCTCCTGCCCTCCCTGCTTACTAGAGGTTCAGGATGAGCCGGCACAGTGCCCACCCAACTCTGAGATCCCTGATGCTAAGCACAGGGCAGAGCTGGGCACCTGGCCTCCAACTCTAGATGGCGCCCCCTCCTGTCAGAGCAGGGGGCTGGCTGGCCAGGATTACTGCTGTAGAAACAGTCCAATGTCCCTCAGGAAACCTTTCCTCTGGGGCCGGCCACTCTGGTACCTCTACTAGGCATTAAGGACCGACCCTTAGCCGGCACCTCACTGAGGGAGGCAGCTCGCTGTGTTCTGGGCTCTTCAGGGCCCCCAAAAGCCAGAGGCCATGTCTCCCCCTTCTGACTTGCAGGCCTGGTTTAGGGAAAACTGGAAACGGGATGGTGAAAAACCTCCTAACCCTTTGCACCTTAACTACACCTTTACCCTCCCGTTCCCCTGTCTGTTGTCCATGTGTGAAGGCATCTGTCCTGCTTGCTCTGGGGCCCCTGCCTCCTGGTTGCCCTCCCATGCCTGTCCCATTCCTGGCTGGTACAAGCCAGCCCTATGCAGGCAGCTGTGGTGGCCCCCGCATGGGGGAGCCCCCATCATGTGCATGTGGCCAGCTGTGCCGAGCAGCATGCTGTGCATCTGCACCCGTGCATGCTCCGTGTCCTTCTCCACTGGGAGAGGGTCTTGAAGGCCACCTCTCTACCCCACGGGCCTCTCTGCTGGCTCTGTGCACTGGAGGTGGGTGCTTGTGGGGAGAGTGTTGCAGCTGCAGACAGGGAGCTGGGTGTCTGGACTGCCCTGGGAGGCGGCCTGCTCAGACCCTGGCTGAAGCTGCCTTGCTTGTCCATGGCATTTGTGTCCAGGTGCTTTGGGCCACACGTTGGACCTTAAGGGCAGAGGCTAAGGTCAGGCTGCTTGAAGACCAGAAGGGCTGGGAAGGATGGGCTTGCAGGAGCCCAGCCGAAGTCCGCCTTGCTGTGCGTGTTCTTGTGGATTATCCTTTGGGCATCCTTGGTCCATGCACAGGCTGGGCAGTTCTCTATGGATGCTGGCTCCCTGCATTGCTGAGTCTGAGTCCCCATGCACTGAGTAGGGCAAGGGCCATCTCATGGCTGGTTTCCTTTTGAATTTTACTCTGGGGAGGGTGACAGGAAGAGAGAGGCTGGGGTTTGCTTGCTTCCCCAGAGTCTTCCTGAGCTGACTCCTGGCTAACTCCTGACTCGCACACAGGGTAGTTCTGTTTGTGGAATCTCTTGCTGGGGCTTTAGAGGATGCTCTGGAGAGCTTCCTACCTTATGTCTGCTTTGATCTTGGCTTGGTAACTTGAGGGGTAAGAAGGAGTCCCTTAGACTCCGTGCCTCTACCCAGGCCCTAGAGATATGGAAGACTGTGTGGGGACTGAATGTCAACTGCAATCCACTTTGTCCCTTTCTCTGCCAGGGTCCCCTTCTAAGGAAGGGACAGTGTGAAGAGTTGGAGACTGAAGAACCAAGACTAAGAGTGGGGGTTTCTTTCCTGGCAGCTGCACCTCTGCTGTGGGCTGCAACCCTATGTAGGGCCTGCGTTTGTGTGGTTCATAACTTTTCTTGGTGGCTGTGGAAGAAATCACTACTAGGAAGGAAAAGTGGCCGATGTTGGGTGACCTGACCGGAGGGATCTGTTTCAGTCCCTCTTGATGTAACAGAGGCTGGGTGTTGGGAGACAGTGAGAACCTGACTCCACATCACCAGCTATAGCAGTTCAGTCTGCCTGACCGCCAGAGTTAAATGCACACTGGTTATAAATTGTTGCAACACTGAGTGACTCCTGGGACCCCAAGGCAGCTCTATAACTCGATTGAGGGTGATCAAAGCCAGGCTGCTTAGTGGTGACTCATTTCTCTTCCTTCAGTGTGTGAGCTGGGGTAGGGATGGTGGGACTGAGGAAGAGCCCCTGAGTGATGATACTGGGAAGTGTGAGCTCCCCCAGTCTAGCTGCTACCTGTCTACCCTGGGCAGACCACGAGAGACACATTGTCTTAGGTCTTTAATAGTTCCTGCAATAGAGGGGTTCACAGGAGGAGAAAACATTTTGGAAGCCACAGACCCCTGAATATCCAGTTTTCCCTAGACCCAACTAGAGTTTTCTGTTTAGAAGGGGGTCAGAAGGTCACGTGGATTCTGGGTGCCCCTGGCCACTACCTGCCTGTGTGTGGCTGCCAGTGTTTCGGTAAAGCACAGAAGCCTGGACTCAGGGCCATTTTTCAAAGCTAGCAGATGCCACTCGCTCCTGATGCTCCCAGGACATAGGACACTTTGAAGCTGCCTCAGTTTCCCTGTGTGGGTTTTGTGCCTCTGGCTTCCTCTTCTCCCTCTTCCTTCTTTATAAAGAGTTTGAGAAGGCAAGGATGATCTCCTAAGTTGCCTACTGTCCCAGTATGGGGCTGAGGGCCACTAGTCCCATCCACAGTTCAAGGTGGATGAACCTAATTAGCATTGTGGTCATCTTCTCTGTGATAGTCAGCTCTGTGTTATTGTTGAACATGTCTCTCTGGCTGGTGGCCCATGGTGGGTCACCGTGGCTGGGTGTGAAGTTGGGTTCCCAGGCATTGATGAGCAATACTAAGCATTTAAACTTCCTTGGAGTTGCCCTTAGTACTGCTAGGTATTGCCGTGGGCCTGTCTGAAGCTATCCTGGGAAGTTCTGTGACTCCTGTGTGCCTGAACAAGTGAGTCTCACCTTCACAAGAGACTTGCTGCCTTCTGTCTCTGGAGGTACAGTGGAGTCATCAGTAGAAAATGCAGCCTGGACTGAGGCATGTTGCCCCCAGAGTAATGGGTGGAGACCACCGCTGTCTGGAGCACGCTAGTCATAGACCAGATGTCTAGATCACAGTGAGCTGCTGAACTCTGGGATTATGAAGGAACATAGGGTGAGGGAGGGCCTAGGACCTTCTATAGTCTGCAAACAGTAGCCCAGGGGGAAAGAGCTTTGGGCAGAGGCTGGCCATCATTTCTCCATTTCTACAGCCACCACCTGGGGCCGGCTGAGGCTTGGGACAGCCAGTCTAGATATAATAGAAGCCTAGCCTCTGGTGTCCTCCTAGAAACATCCTAGGGGAGGGGTATGAAGCCAAGAGACCAGACAGTGTTGGGCAACAGCCCCACATAGAGGCTAGGCAACTCCTAGGACTCATAGAAAAGGTTGGATCTAGACACATTAGTTGTAGCCCTGATCTCTGATGATCCTTGGGCAGGAAGTGATAGGATAACAGGGACACTCCAGGGGCAGTTGGAATGGGCAACAGGGAAAGCCATTGGCTGGGCTAGTACAGGCAAAGGTCCAGGGAAGAGTTCCAGTCTCCAGTGTTTGGGAGTCATTTGGGGAAGCTGACAGGGCAGTGTGGGGAGAGCTCTGGCACCCTGTGATGGCTGAGTGATTTAGGAGTCCCGCCGTTGCCTCCCCAGGTCTGGCCACACCTGTGCGGCTCCTCACCTCTACCCTGTGCTTTGCCAGCCACGGTTCCCTCTTCCCAGCGTGGTCGGTTACTCTTTGGACTTGCATCTCCCTCCTGGCTTGGGGGTAGGGTGGGGGCATCAGCTGCAAAGAGACATGACTTGTTATTTCCGGAGTGATTTCTCTTGCTGTTTTTCTGTGTGTCTGTCTGTACCTGTTCTGTCTGCTGGTCGGTTATCCTGGAAACAGTCAGAAGGTCAGTTTGAAAGATCGTGTCTTCTCCAGCCCCCGAGGTGTGGCTGCCAAGGGGAAGGGGTCTCCTCAGGCCCAGACAGTCCGGCGGTCCCCCAGTGCTGATCAGAGCCTTGATGACAGCCCAAGCAAGGTGCCTAAGAGTTGGAGCTTCGGTGATCGTAGCCGTGCACGCCAGGCCTTCCGCATCAAGGGTGCTGCATCCCGGCAGAACTCAGAAGGTGGGTCAGCATCACCTTCCCCAAGGCTGTTGGCTACTGGGGGAAGGACATTAGCTCTTGGCTATAGGGCACAAATCAAAGTGTCTTGGAGCGGGAAGCCCCCTTTCTTAAGCTTTTAAGTGACATCATGTCTGATGAACCACTTTAACACACATCATTCACTGGCATCTTGAAATTCCATTACTTGCAGTGAGACCTCTAGCAGATAATGGAGAAGAAGCCCTGGACCCTCTAGGTGTCACCCCAGCCCTCTCCTGCCTGCTTTTCTCTACCTCCAGTCTGTGCGTGTCACATGCATGATACTGAGCCTCATATGGTCCATGGTGGCCATTTCACACTGAGCATGGTGTCTCCAAGGATCATCTGTGTTGTCAAGTGTTATATAGTGGCCTTCATTTCTTTGGCTGAACTGTGACCACAATGTGGTCATCCATTCATCTGTTGGCAGGGGTGTCCTTTAAACCCTCATACTGTCCAGGTAATAGCTTCTGGAGAAGAGACTGACAGAGAGCTGCAGAGAGGCGGGGTGGGTACTCCAGTGCAGCAGAGGCATTGAAGGGGTACCTGGGGAAGCCTGAGTGGCCTCTGTTGGTCAGTCTGGGGATTGCACCTTGTTGTGACTTCTCATAGTCTGCTTCCTTCCACCCAGAAGCAAGCCTCCCTGGGGAGGACATTGTGGAGGACAACAAGAGCTGTAACTGCGAGTTTGTGACTGAAGATCTCACCCCCGGCCTCAAAGTCAGCATCAGAGCTGTGTGGTGAGGGACTCTTGTCCGTTCTGCATGAGAAGACCCTCCCTATTTAGTGACCTCATGGGGTCTTGCCAAGTCACCAAAGGCCATAACTATTGGGACAGCACAGGGAGTCCTGAGGAGGACCCCTGCCCATTCTAGCTCCTGTACCTGTCATTTTGTTCCCAGAGGGCCAGGGAGTCCTGGTGGAGCTGTCTGGACCTGAGGGCCCAGCCCCTGAATATGTCAATGAAATGGAGGCCAAGGGCAGGAGGGTTTTTCAGAAAACCAACAGCTGCCACAAACCAGTGGTTCCAAGGAGGCTGAGCACTGAGTAGCCCATGGTGGGGAAGGGTGAGTGGGTAGCCCAGGAATTGTGGTATTGGAGCTGTTTGCGACAGACAGGTGGATATGGGAACTGGCCCCTGGCAGTATAGCCTCTATCTGGAATTCATGATGTATCCATCTCTGCAGTGTTATGCGGTTCTTGGTATCTAAGCGCAAGTTCAAAGAGAGTCTGCGCCCATATGACGTGATGGATGTCATCGAACAGTACTCAGCCGGACACTTGGACATGTTGTCCCGCATCAAGAGTCTGCAGTCCAGGCAAGAGTCCATGCCTGTCCAGTCTGGGCATGAACAGGGCCCTCCGGGACAAAACCAGGCGTGGCACAAGGGGCACCAAGGGCTGGGTGACAGGTGTGCAGAACAGGGCCAGTGCCACCATTGGAGGTCTCTTCCCACCTTGTTGGCTTCCCTTTGCTTTCTGCTGTGTTTTCACACTGTCTGTCTGGTTTTAGTCTTTTTTTTTTCTGTCCCCCCCTTTCTCTTCCACTCACCTGCACTGTGGTGGTGAGTGTGTATGTGTGTGCGTGTCCATGTGTACATATGTGTGTGGATGTGTTTATGTATGCATGCGTGTGTGCATACGTGTGCAAACATGTGCACATGAAGTGTGGGTGTATGTGTAAGCACCATGTGCTATGCTGTATATGTACATATGTGTTGGTATATATGTATGCATATGTGTGTTATGCACATACATGCTGAGATAGGAGTGTTTCTGTGAAGAGATGGAAACACAGGCCATCTGTGGGCCCTGCCAGGCAGTGGCTGGGAACCCTGGATCTGTTCCTCCAAGGAACAGCCATCTGATTCCTCGTGGTGGGGTCCTACTTTCTGAGTAGGAAGCTCATCAGACGCAACCACTGGCTTATCTGTGCGTGAGATTAGGCTTGCTTACTCTAGAAGTCATACAAATGCATTGTGTACACATGAGTAAGGCCTGAGTCCACCCACACATACACATGCATTCAACATGTGTGGGTGTATACATGCAGACACATGTCCATGATTTTATCAACCTACTCCCAACATGCTCACAGGAACACATCCTCAGGTGCACAACACATACAAGTGTGCATTCCCCATGTGCCAGGGGGCACAGGATATGCACAGACCATGCCCGCAACTGTTCCAGCATGTCCCTGCTCCCCTTGTTCCTAGGAACACACCCTTAGCCACATACCGTTTACACATGTGTGTGTTTGTGATAACCTGTGAGGAGCCTGTCTCCCATGGGGGAGGGGCACACCCAGCTTTGCAGTCCTGGAGGTGGCACATGGGTTTTGGTTAGACAGAGAGTAAGGACAATAAAGACAGCCTGGGGAACTCCTTGTCATCAAAGAAAGTTGCAGCAATGGCAGATGTCATAGAGGCAGGGCTTCTAGGCCATGAGCTGCTCTCTTAAGTGGAGACCAGGCAGGTGTCCCCCAGCTCAGGCTGGGGCCCCTGACCGGCTTCCCCAGAGCATAAGCTGTACATGTGTTGTATGTGGGTGAGTGAGAATTCCCAGCCTCCAGCCTAGCGCCATGCCGATCCCCACAACTATTTGCCCCACAGCCCTTTCCACTCCATATTCGCTTTTCCTTCTCTTTCTGTCTGGGGAACAGATGCCAATGAGGAGTCCTGTGCTTCTGGCCTCTGATGCAGAGTCTGTTGCTCTGTAGTTCCTTTCTGGGACTTAGTTTCCAGCACCAATCCATCCTGTTCTCCACCTGAGGTTCAGTGGGCAGGCTGGACAGTGCTTGGGACATGGGAAAAGCCTGACAGATGTGAGGGCCAGAGTGTGGGTCCACCGTGTTCCGTTTTGAGCATGCCTGCCAGAAAAATCACTATTGTCAAGTTGTTCCATGTTTCTGTGCATGTCCAGCAAGTCACCTTGGGTTGTTTATGATGTGTTTTGCTGGTGTCTCTCTTCTTGTTTATGCTGCCAGGATAGATATGATTGTGGGCCCCCCACCCCCTTCAACTCCCCGGCACAAGAAGTACCCTACCAAAGGACCCACGGCCCCTTCGAGAGAGTCACCCCAGTACTCACCTAGGTTAGGATGCACTGCCTCCTCCCACCCTGTCTGAATGGCCAGCCCCTTTGCTCTAGGCCGCATGATAGCAGCACCTTGCTCTTTTCTTTCCACAGGGCGGGGGACATTTGGGTTCTCTCTCTTACTAAAGGACATGTTAGAGAAAAGGCTACTCCTTGCCAGGACTGTTAGGTATCGTCCCTAGTCTTCCATCTACAGGGATCACCTCTCCATAGAGTTCTCTATGACATCTACTGAATCTGCTAAAGCAGAGGACCGCGATAGCCAATGACACTGTGACCTTGACCAGCTCAGGCCCTTCACATCTGCCCATTACTGGGGTGGCCACCATGCACATGGTCCTGACCTTGGCTCTATGTGGATTAAAGCAGATGGGGGTGCTTTCCTGGACTACTTCCTTAGGTGTGAGATGCACCCGCCTCCTAAATTGTTCTGAAGAATGCATGAAGACTGGGGATGTAGCTTGGTAGTAGAGCACTTGTCTGCCATGTGTAAGTCCCTAGGTTCAATTCCCAGCACTGCAGGGGCAGAAATAAATGAGAACCCCCCCCCCCCCACAGTACATCTAGCACCAAGCTGTCTCTGTCAGTTCTGATGTTATTTCAAGTTGTCACCACCATCACTGATGTCATTGATAAGAAAGATGGCAGCCTACCTTATCCTGTCCCTCAGCTGAGTGTCAAATGGCAGATGGGGGGCCAGGGAACAGTCAAATGGCAAAAGCCAGTTCTGGTGTGGTTAATAGAGGCTTCAAGACCTGGCTACCTTGGGACCACTCAGATAATTCCCCATCTCCCTCTGGTGGGTCTGATTGTCCAGGAAAAGTAAAACTCTCAGGAGCAGGCTCAGGAGGGCAGATAGACACTGCCCTGTCTGTCAGCTGGGGACAGAAGAGTTCTGGGCAGCTCAGAGCTTGGGAAATTGGAACTGGCAGTTGTAGCCTCTGTCCACCTTTTGGGCCATGAGGTCAAATGTCAATGTGATGATCAGTCCACGAGAGAGGGACTCTAGGGGAGCAGGAAGTGAGGCAGCTCTTGGTCAGATGACATCCAGACTAAGAGTGGCCTGTGACACTATCCAACAATGAGACTGAAGCCCATTTAGTCCTCTGGGTCTTTCTGCTGCTCATGTCAGCTGATCATCCAGGCCATAGGCTGGGAAGGCCCTGCAGACCTCAGAGCACCCCCTCAGCCTTTTCCTGTGTTGCAGCAGGGTGCTACCCAGACACACACAGGAAGGTCTTACAGCACAGTTGGCACACGCCACCCAAGAGGTGAGAAGCACCTGGGGATTGAGCCTGATGCTCCAGCCTGAGTCCTGGGGGAGGAAGTGGCACAAGGTCCTCAGAGGACCCTTGTCTGGCCACCTCGCAGCAACTTGAAGCCTACCCAAGATCCACCAGGCAGATGGCTCGTCATGTGGCGGGGGTGAAGGGGCTGTGCATCTGTGCCTGGACCGTGTGGACAGTGGAGCATTAGGGAACCTGTTCCCTTGCCATTGTCACTGACATCTGCTTGGAGCCAGAAGGTCCCACCTGCCATCCCTCCCACCCTCCTTTGCATGAGCCCAGCATGAGCCCAGTGGAGCATGCAGAGACCGCCCCTGGCTGATGCGAGCCTGAACCTTCCTCTGCAGTTGCCATGAAAGTAGGCAGGGCACCCCATTTTGTAGAAAGTGGAGGGAGAACCTGCTGACATGTAACTGCTTGAGTGTGCTTTGCGTGTGGGGCTACACAGCTCATCTTGAGAAGTCTCCCTCAGCCGGACTCTGGGTGCAGTGTGCTTATAGGCTCTATGCAGCCTCTTTATTTTCAAGTGGCCTGCAGCTCCCAGCCCAAGCTCACTCTTGTGACTCCCACCAGCCCTGCCACAGCCCTACATGCCCTCATGACATGTCATGGATCTGCTGGTGCCACACTGGACAGACGAGAACCCCCATCCTCTGAGGACGAAGGAATTCCTTCCCTTCTTGTTGGTATTAGGGTATCATTACCGATCCGCTCAGTTGAATTCCTCATCTCACCCAACACTTACAAGTGCACACATTCATTCACATGGGTGTGAGTATACCCCCCACACACATGTGAGGACACATGCATCACACCCGCATACATGCATCAGCACACTCGTGTGCCTAGATCCCTAACCCCCACCTCACAAATCCCTGGTTGGCAGTGCTCATCTCTCCCCTGGTTGTGCTTCGGCAGTTCCGATGTGACCCTTGTTTCCTCTCCCCTTGTCCTGATGCATGGAGCTGACACTCACTGCCTCCCTGCTTCTGTTGTCCTTGCAGACATTTAACATTGTCCCCCGTCGTACCCATTGGGGTCCAAGGAACTCCATGGCACATTAATGTGGGAGTAAAGCTGGCAGGGGTAGCTTTGGGCAAAGGTACACCTCTCCTACTTGGGTCCCTTGGTTGGATGCCACCAACCACCTCTGATCCCCTGGGTCCCAGTTTGCTGTGAGACCAGTGAATCGCAGGCCTGGGAAGAGCTATGAGGTGAGATCAATGGGGATAGAGCCATACTAGGGAGGGCCCAGGGTAGAAATTTCCCTTTACTCCTTGTTAATGTGCCAGATCCCATGGGGATGGAACAGATAGGAAACAGGACCCAAGGTGTCAGGAGGCAGCCTGAGATCATGAGGCACCAGTGTCCATCTGCCTGGCACCTGCTGCCCCCCGGTCGGCTCTGGATAGGGTTCAGAGCTCAGATCTGGGGAGCCGTGGGTTAGCCCAGGAAGAAGGGGCAGGGGCCTGGTCATACCCTCTCAAACTCATATTTGGGGGCTGGGTCTCTATTCCCGCTAGAGTGGACCAGATTGTGGGGCGAGGCCCAACAATAACAGACAAAGACCGCACCAAAGGCCCAGCGGAGACAGAGCTGCCTGAAGACCCCAGCATGATGGGACGGCTTGGAAAGGTGGAGAAACAGGTGGGAGAAGCCTGGGAGGGGAATGGCCTCTGCTGTCTCTCAGTCTCATTTTGTCAGCCCACGGCTGCTGAGTAGCCAAGGCATAAAAGCAGATGCAGCAGGAGGGACACAGCTCTATGAGATGCCCCTGATGTCCTGTGCAGATCCTGTGGTCTGGCACTTTCCCTTCAGTATCTGGAGCTTGGAAGTACCTAGAAGGGTAGCTGTTGGGCATGATTTTTATTTGAGGGTCCTCTGGCAGGGGTAACCACTGTGGAACTTTCTGGAAATTGCACATGGCCTACTCCCCCCCTTTTTTTTTCAAAGCAGGGTTTCTATTTGTAGCTTTGGAGACTGTCTGGAACTTGATCTGTAGATCAGGCTGGCCTCGAACTCACAGAGATCCACCTGCCTCTGCCTCCCAAGTGCTGGGATTAAGGGCGTGTGCCACCACCCCCAACCCCCCCTCTCTTTTCCTTGCCTAGTACCAATCCTCACTCTCCTGAAAATGGATCCCTAGGAGCCACCAAATGAGTACCTCTGTCAGCTGACCTGAGATCAGGCACACACTAAGCTTAGAGGTTGAAATGTTGGACTCTGGGGTAGAAGGGCAGCTCCCGGGTTCCTTCCTCTGCCCCTTCTCATCTGGGTGCATCCTGGGACCTCTCCTCAAAAGCCCAGCCCAGCAATTTCCATTCTTGCAGGTCTTATCCATGGAAAAGAAGCTAGATTTCCTGGTGAGCATCTACACGCAGCGAATGGGTATCCCACCAGCAGAGACAGAGGCCTATTTTGGGGCCAAGGAACCTGAGCCGGCTCCACCCTACCATAGTCCAGAGGACAGCCGTGAGCATGCAGACAAGCATGGCTGTATCATTAAGATCGTCCGCTCTACCAGCTCTACAGGCCAGAGGAACTACGCTGCGCCCCCAGCCATGCCCCCTACCCAGTGTCCTTCCACCTCGTGGCAGCAGAGCCACCAGCGCCATGGCACCTCCCCTGTGGGAGACCATGGCTCACTGGTACGCATCCCGCCACCCCCTGCACATGAGCGGTCTCTGTCTGCCTACGGTGGGGGCAACCGGGCCAGTACCGAGTTCCTGAGGCTGGAGGGCGCCCCAGCCTGCAGGCCCCCTGAGGGTGCCCTGCGGGATAGCGACACTTCCATCTCCATCCCCTCTGTGGACCACGAGGAGCTGGAGCGCTCTTTCAGTGGCTTCAGCATCTCCCAGTCCAAGGAGAATCTGGATGCCCTAGGCAGCTGTTATGCAGCTGTGGCGCCGTGTGCCAAGGTCAGGCCCTACATTGCAGAGGGGGAGTCTGACACAGACTCAGACCTCTGCACTCCTTGTGGGCCTCCCCCACGCTCTGCCACTGGTGAGGGCCCCTTTGGAGATGTGGGTTGGGCAGGGCCCAGGAAGTGAGACTGGGCTGGGCTGCTGGGCCCCATGCCACACCCACTCTGGTTCCTGGTTTGGAGCTGGAGTTCCAGGGCCTTTGCTAAAGTGACGGAATGACATATAGTGTGGGTTGTGAGGGTGCCCGTGGGATCTGGCTCTCAGGGTTCATGTGCAGTGGAGACGAGGCAGGGCTCCTTGGCACACGTGGTAACATTTTCTAGAAGTTCTTTTCCAACTAGGATAGGGAGGCCCCAGGAGCTACCTATGGCAGCAGAGCTATCCCTGCCCAGTCTTCTTAGGGGACACAGATACTGCCCTGTGAGTGAGGAGCATCAGAGCGATGGTGGTGCCTGTGAGTGGGAGGTGTGGCTGGGATCACGTACAGGGGAAGTAGTGGTGAAACACGTCTATCTACCACTGACGGCCAGTCCCAAGGCCCATGGGTCTTCCAGCTTAGGCTGGAAGCTCAGGAGGTATAGTAGGTCGCTGGGAGTGGCCCACTCCACACCTGCCTGCTTATCCCTCAGTTCCTGACTACCCCAGTAAAAGCATTACCAGGCCCACTGTTTGTGTGTGGCTGGGAAATGCCCCTCATCCCTGGGCACCTGGCTAGAGAGCTGCTGGCCAGCATCTTCCTCCCTCTTCCACAATCTGTGGACCCTTCCATGGGAGCCATCCTTAGATCAGGACCCTTTTCCTGGAGCCAAGGAAGGGGTGAGTCTTTAGGGACCAACCTGGAGCTTAGAACTGACCCTTGGACCTCCCACCCATGGATTCCACCTCTTAGGGGAGGGAGGACCCAGCTCACAGCCTTTTTCTGAAAGGAATTCTTTGGGAGGTACTGGCTGCCTCATCCCTGGCACTGTAGCCCAGGAGGTCTGGATTGACACCTCATGGCCTCACTCTTTCCTGGTGTGGTCTCCAGGCTGTAGCCAGTACTTCAAGAGAACCACTTGGTAAGCAGACCAGCACTGTCCTTAGCCACGGCACTAGCTTGCCTGCTGCCCACTTGGCTCTACAGATCCAGGCAGAGCTGAATGACAACGACATCGTCAAACTACCAGCTCTTCTATATGAGAGCGTGGCCTCTGTGCTTGGTCAAGGATCCTTTCCGTGGAAGCTGGCCATCCACAGTCATTCATCCACTATAGGTCCCTTGACTGTGGCCTCTTAGTGTTTGGGAGATTGGGAACACCTTGCCCTCTACTCTGGTGAGCAGGACCGTCTGTCCATCTTGTGACTGGGCGTCTTGGACCATGTAACAGCCAGCTTTAGAAGGACACAAGGTAGAACCCTCAGTTGTGGTCCTGCAGCATCTGGCCCAGAGGTGTTTGGCATTGAATGATAGCATTTTTTTGGGGGGTGGAGGGCCCCAGTCTCTCCGAGGCAACAGCTTTCCTGATCACTGAGGGCAAGTACTGCAGAGCTTGAGCCTGGGCACAGTTCTACCCACTTCTTAAAAAAAAAAAAGTATGGGAGGGGTAGAAGCAGCTTGGGGCCTGTGCTCAGCAGGAGGCACCCTATTCCTGAGGAGAAGCTTGAGGTCGTGTCTCTGCCAGGGACCTGGGCATCTGAGGAGCTGTGTCTGCTGTCTGCTGTGGCCTCCATGTCCTCCATGTCAGGGCTGCTAGGACTGCACCTCAGTATGCCTCCGCTAGGCTCCGGGTTGAGAACCTGTGTCACAATATGTGCACATTGGTTCTCTAGGGCAGTGCTGTAGTCCACTCCTCAGTATGAGAGAAGCCTCTTCCTACATGGGCATGGCAGGCAGTGTAAACAGGAGTAACTACCCCTTCACTAGCCTTGTCCTGGAGAGTTGAGCCTGGGTTCAGACCCTCCACCTGACACACAGGAAGACTCCAGGGTAGTGGGACAAGCACATCTGCCCTGGACAGACCAGCCACCAGAGTACTCTTCCCCTAGATCTGAATCAGCCATAGCTGTCTCAGCGCCAGGGAATGTTGGAAAGAGGTTTGCATCTGTCCCCAGAGCTGCCATGGACACAAGAGCCTGAGATACCCTGAGCTAGGGTTTTGTGGGATGAGCACCTCCTCCCCAGAAACCCTGGCCATACAGAATCTATCAGAAGTCCTTATTTAGGTTACATCAAGAGGGAGACAGGAGGCCATGGCCTGCTTTGCAAATGAGCACTGGTCAAGAGTGCAGTGTTGGCTACTCAGAGGAAGTTCATCTCAAGGGGTGACCTGGGAACTCTGATATGAGAGATGACCGAGCCCCTTCTTGGGGGACCCAGACCCAGGCCTGAGCAACACAAATGTCCACTGCCTTGGAATCCCCACACTCAGGGAAGCAGGACAGGATGGAGGCTGGAAGCTCCTACAAGAAATTTGTGCACGTTCTTGGGTATTGACATATGACCAAGTATGGCTGAAGGCCAGCAGCTGCCCCATGGCAAAATTTTCCTCAGAAAATGTTTGTCCTAACACATTCTCTCATATGCCTACCAGCACAGCCCATACACTAGACATATATGTGCATTCATATATGTGCACACAAAAGCTTACAGACCACACCTTCATATGCACACACGTATACACACAGAGAGACACAAGCGTACATACAACAGGTGTACTTTTTCCCTGTTTTCCTTATATTTTTCTATAATTCTTTTAAATCTCATTTTACATTCCAACCACAGTTCTCCCTCCCAGTCCACTCCTCCACACGGGTAAGGTCTCTCATGAGGAGTCAACAAAGAACAGGTGTACTTTCAAATACATATTCCTTGTTACACACATACACATGAAAGCTCACACACAGTTTGTCAGACCACTCATATAACAGGTATATATACACATACATATGAACACATGTGATCTTATAGGATACATATTCCACATATGCACATACAGCAAATACCCACTTTTATGCCTGCATATTCACATATATGCACACACACATACACACAGAAGCTTTGCCCCCACCCACTAATCTTTTTCTCATTGGCTCTTCTTGAAGAGAGCTACCTAGGGAGGGTGCCACAGGAGTTAATGATGAACGTTCTAAAATGTTGAGCGTTGACTGGGGTGGGTGTTCGGGGTACCTAGGGCTTCCAGGCAACAGTGGTAGAGGGTCCACCTGGAGCCCATTGAATTCCCACACTGCCCTCTCCTTGGAGTAGCTGGCAGTTGTCTATAGGTGCCAAGAGAGGCCGTGGTTTGGTCAGGGTGAGGGCAGTTCTAGTGCCTACTGAGGTCCAGATCAGTCTGTGCATTGGGTCAGTCTTGGTATCAGCCAGTTCCCATGCCCTCCTGTATACATGCCTGGCTGTGATGTTTTCTGGGTTTTCAATCATGGCCTCCATGAAGTGCACTCTTGTCTGCTGGGGCCAGAATCCATCTTCTGTCCTACATGTGGTCTTGGCAGACCAAGTGTCAATTAAGCCAACTGTTAGTTATGCTTTCACCTTTATGGACTGCACTTGAAATCCACACTAGACACTGAATGGGCCTCTTTGGAGAGGACTCTCTAAGCTGTAGTCATCCCCAGTCCCTAGACATAGGCGATGCATATCCGGGGCCACTTTCCACCTTTAATGCACTGGTTCAAGGTTCCTTCTCCCCTTGAGCTGGTGGCTACAGACTCAGAATGTGGAAAAGGAGGCCACCCTGCCTTCTGCTACCCTCACTGGGTTTGTCCTATATTAGGGGCACCGTGAAGTTTCTACAAACACCCTTACTTTTTGTAGAAAGAAGTGGGCCCAGAGATGTGTTCAGACCTTCCCCCAGAGGTGAGAGAATCTAGGACAGGAATGCCTTTCTGAAACACCAGAGCTTGTATCTTTCAGTTTTCTGGCTATAAGTAGTGCGCAGAGTGGAGGCTAATTCACTCTCCCTTGGCTCGCACCCTGACACCAACAGGACAACATGTGAGCCTTTCTCTGAGGCTACAACCTCTTGAACTAAACATGAAAAACTTGGTTTGAACAATGGGACCCACAGTAGAGGGACTCAGAGCAGGGTGGGCTGGGGTTAGAGTGGAGAATCTATACAGAATACTCCAGAAGTCCAGGCTCACATGGCTGGAGTGATGTGGTCATCTGCTACCATGATGCAGAGAGACTGGCCTTCTGCTCCCCTAAGACCTCCCAGGGCATAGGATGAAGGTTGTGGGGAAAGAAGTCCAAGAAGAGTCTGTAGGCTGTCCTAAGCTCCCACTGTGCCCACTGAGCCAAGCAGGCAGGAGCTTCCCAGAGGAGGTATTATGATGGGAATTATGGTTTCTAGAGATCCAGATGCTTCTTTCTGAGGAGTCTCAGCATGTGCCCAACACATGCCTTAGGCCCTAGGCCTTAGGGGCCCAGTGTCCCTGTGTGTGAATGAATTGGGGCCACAGTTTGATGAATTTTGCTTGTCTATGAGGTGGTTCTAGCAGCAGGCCTTGGGAGGCACCAGGAAAGGGTTATACCCTAGGTTATACCCACCAAACACCTAGAGGTGCCTGGGTTTTAAGTTTGTTCAGAGCTTAGATGAACACCTTGGTGTCCCAGCTGACAGAGGATACTGGGTCTGGCCCATGACCCACCTGAAGTTCCCCTGGTGTCTAACTCCCTGTCAGAGAAGGGGTAGTTCCCAGGCTGTTCTGGGACTCCCAGGCAGGAGCACACATCGCTAACACCGCACATCAAACTGGGACTGGCTTTTCCAAAGTTGTTGCCTTAATGTATGTTGAGGGAAATTCACTAAGGTCACCCCTGCCTCTGCCTGATACAGACACACTAGACTCCACCTCCAGGTCCTGCTACTGGAGAGGAGTGCTGGTATGACGGGCTGCCACTAGTAGTCCCACATGGAGGGGCTCAAAGCTGTGATCTCCTTGACGTCATCCAGCTGCCTGGGATGATTCCATATACAGTGCAGCGAACCCTGCGCTTCCAGCCCACACCTGCCCATTGCAGTCTTGTCCCCTGGCCGCAGCTGCGGCTGCAGCTTCCCCATCTGCGCTGTTGCCTTTGGCTGTCTTTGCACTTTTGTTCATGCTCCAAAGAATATTTCATAATGCCT